AGACTCCTATGCTGACTAGCAGGAGAGTGAGGGTGGAATACATTGCCGGGTTGACAGGTGAGACATATCGCGACATTCCATCAATGGAGACCTGCACAAATAGGAGAATCGCAAACATTCACACGGACAGAGTAAAAAGTTGGAAACCCCAAAGATGTGACCGAACCTCGAAGCACTGAAACTGCAGAAGATTTTACTGCGCGGTGGGGTTCATTGGTATTAGCAAAAAGACAGATTAGGCTTCTGGTCTAGATATCCCGAAGATATCTGGCCTCTGTGAACAGCTAGATGGAAGCGTCTTTGAGTTTGGCTTTTAGATGACTAGTCGGCACACTAAAATGCCTGAATACGCGTCGGCAGATACTCGGCCATTCTAGGAAAGACATCACTGAATAGTGTTCAAACCTCACTTAGTGGCTTCGAAAAATTGCATTAAGATGGGCTTTTTGAAAGTGCGCAGGTAGGTTAGGGCACGGTGTCACTGTCTAAAGGGCTGCCTTGTCTCCATGCAGAAAGAGGCGATCAATTACCGCAGGGACATTAAGACAGGACAACGTGGGAGAACATGAAAGTCTCCCATCCATACACGATGATTCTAAGTCGTGGGAGGGCGTACTATTATTTTCGTCTCGTTTATAAGGTGGGAAGGGAGGTCTAGGGGACGCCAGAACCGCGGTAGCCCTCAAGATGCCCGCTGGCCATTTAGAAGATGAATATTACAGGAAAATATGGCGACACAAAGTTAGACTCTGCCATGCGAAGTTGTGTGCCGATCAGTCCTGAACTAAATAAAGAAAGACGAGGAGCGGTGAGGAGGGGTATCAGCATGGACGATCCCTTGAGAAATCGGATGAGCCCGTATGTTGTTATCCAATGAAAATCTCAACACAATAGTCTAGATTTCACCGGAAACTTGGCAGTAGCACAGTTTACCAGTAGGCAGACTCACTAAATAACTGCTTACTGGACAAGTGTACTACTAGGAAGTTAATGCTAATAGAACCATCATACTTAGCCGAGGCAGTAAAAAACTATTATTTTCATCTCGTTTATAAGGTGAGCAGGGAGATCTAGGGGAAGCCACAACCGAAGAACCCCTGACGATACTTAGCGCGTATTCCTAAACCGAGTTTTCTCATTCAGTAGGAACAGCTAGTTAAATGCAAGACAGTCTGGCCCCTCGGCACATACACATGGATATCACCGAGTTTTTCATCGCTATCAGCTGAACTATTCTAAAAGTCAACGTGTCATGGGGATCCTTCTCAGTTTTCCTGTCGATGGCGGATAATCACTCCCGACGGCAGTCCAGGAAGGCGAAAGCTCCTGACGCCGGATTTAGATCCTCAGTAGACCTACATTTGCACTAGTTGAGTCATGGTCCACGTGTAGCGGCTAAGCAGTGATGGTGTACGCTCAGTACGCCACAACTTCAGGCCATATGCCCAGTTGTTAGAAGCAGGAAGCCTTTCTGAGAAAAGATTTTATTTATTCTGTACAGAATAGTGAAGGGAAGTTGGTAACCGGACGAGGATGCGTCCGGCGCCGCGGAGAAGGCATCCTCAAGAGCGACGAGCCGTGTTTCGTTGAAGGTCGCCGCTGCAAACATTTCGTGACATATTGTTTACGCCAGTGTTCTGGGCTGTTTCCGCCTGTCTTACCAATCAGCGATAGTAGGTGCGTTGCTTGGCTCCAAGCCCACTCGAGGGTAGTGAGAATCCTCGCATGGTGCAGGCAGAGTATCGACCAGGTGCGTGGTGCAGACAGTGAATTGCAACGAGACAAATCGAAGCCGGGCAGACGTGCGGGCCATAGCAGGCTGTCGCTAGGACGTGGGTGCAGGGGCTAGCGACAGGCGCGACGTTGCCACTGTGGCTGTCCACTACACACCTTATGTCTACAAAGCTTGGAATAATCCACAACGCGTGCCGGTAACATTAATCTGTTTGCCTTGTTGAATTTTCTTATCATTGAAACGGCGGAAATATTCGTCCTCTGCAATGCTCGCAACCTCTCTTTAAATGTTCACATTTCATAAAGTCTGTGTCGAATTATCGATATCAATATCTAATATCTCCACTGAGATGCTTGCAGAAACGCACTCAAACAACTTAAAGTCTAAAGACTTGTGCTTGAGCTAAGACGCACAGATATGTCTCCCTTTTAAAACTCTGAGAAAACTGCCAATCTGAGTGGGAATTCAGACGTTCAGCTTTTCCTTGGGAGCCTTATCTAGACCATCCACAAACCAGTTGAATAGAAGTTAGCCAAGGTGTGAGATCGAGTTTGCGTTACGAATTAATAAACTGAGAGGTCGCAGAACACTTGCCCTGGGTTATTTAAGACACTGGACTCTCATATACTATTTTGAACCTCAGTTGTGCACGCCTAAAGTTGTTTTTAATGGTAAATTTATATACGTAGTGGCAGCGCGAAAATGGAGGTGAGTTGTCAGTCCTTTTCTCGGCAGTCTGTCTAGCCTGTCTTTAAACTAGACTCTCATACCTGCATGCAAACCAATACGTATAAGATTGTATACAGAATTACTACTGCAAATGATCCTTTACATATATGATGGAAAGCGGTGCGTCAGGAAGAAAGAATTATGACGTTTCTATTTTAAGCTCATGCATGCGGCATCGAGATGACTTCAGCATTTGTGGTACTGTAATACTGTACACACGTTTAACAGCCGCCGCAAATTTGACCATAAACTCTTGGACAATCCCTTCTGTATTTGCACGTGTAATCATGAAAGTATACCCTTTTTTCGTATATAATTAAGAAGTCGACAGTCAATACTGAATCCCATTAGTCGTGCAATAATTAGTCCCCTTGTCCGGCCGAGTAAGTTTACGAGCCGATGGCTTGAGGTTTGTATCTTTCTGTAACGTCTCCCACAATTTTTCGTTTGTAGCCGTACACAAGTAGAACTAGGATTAGTAGGGGATGTTTGCGTACTTTGTAGAATCTGTGAGACAAATTTCCCTACATCGGCTCTGTAACCATTGCCCACTTGCGGGGTTGTGCATTTGTAGTAACAAGCTCCTGGAAATACTCCACGTGGTATTTCTGGCATCTGATGCAATTTTCCAAGTGTGGATGGCGGCAGTGTAGCGACCAAAGTCGTTGGCGGTAGCACTTATTGGGTAACGCGAAGCACTAAGAATAAGCCCCAGCTTAAGACGGACTGAAGAAAGTTGTTCGGCGCGTCACTGCGCTCATCCAGACGACAAAGTTGAATAAATTGGCGAACACAAATATGTATGATAGGAACGGACAAGAATCTTGTGGATACAATAGTAGTCTGTTACAAGAAGCGAGGAGTTACAGCAGAGGTGACACTGACATGCCTGCTAAACAGCCGGCGGGAAACTGCAGGGAAGAGCCGTGGGAGGTGGCGACGTGGAGGGGGGAGAGAGCTGCGGGATGAAGGTCGGAGGTAGAGGGAAGGGCACCAGCGATTTGCACTGACACGCAGCTGTGCTCCATCCCAGATCTGCGCGAAATGTCACCTCATTCGAATAACTATATGGTTCGTGGTGCATTGCAATAGTACACATGTCCAGTAAGCAGTTATTTAGTGAGTCTGCCTACTGGTAAACTGTGCTACTGCCAAGTTTCCGGTGAAATCTAGATTGTTGTGTTGAGATTTTCATTGGATAACAACATACGGGCTCATCCGATTTCTCAAGGGATCGTCCATGCTGATACCCCTCCTCACCGCTTCTCGTCTTTCTTTATTTAGTTCAGGACTGATCGGCACACAACTTCTCATGGCAGAGTCTAACTTTGTGTCGCCATATTTTCCTGTAATATTCATTTTCTAGATGGCCAGCGGGCATCTTGAGGGCTACCGCGGTTCTGGCGTCCCCTAGACCTCCCTTCCCACCTTATAAACGAGACGAAAATAATAGTCTTTTACTGCCTCGGCTAAGTATGGGGGTTATCCTAGCATTAGCTTCCTTACAGTGGACATCACGATCATCTGGTACGCCCTCCCACGACTTAGAATCATCGTGTATGGATGGGAGACTTTCATGTTCTCCCACGTTGTCCTGTCTTAATGTCCCTGCGGTAATTGATCGCCTCTTTCTGCATGGAGACAAGGCAGCCCTTTAGACAGTGACAGCGTGCCCTAACCTACCTGCGCACTTTCAAAAAGCCCATGTTAATGCAATTTTTCGAAGCCACTAAGTGAGGTTTGAACACTATTCAGTGATGTCTTTCCTAGAATGGCCCAGTATCTGCCGACGCGTATTCAGGCATTTTAGTGTGCCGACTAGTCATCTAAAAGCCAAACTCAAAGACGATTCCATCTAGCCGTTCACAGAGGCCAGATATCTTCGGGATATCTAGACCAGAAGCCTAATCTGTCTTTTTGCTAATACCAATGAACCCCACCGCGCAGTAAAATCTTCTGCAGTTTCAGTGCTTCGAGGTTCGGTCACATCTTTGGGGTTTTCAACTTTTTACTCTGTCCGTGTGAATGTTTGCGATTCTCCTATTTGTGCAGGTCTCCATTGATGGAATGTCGCGATATGTCTCACCTGTCAACCCGGCAATGTATTCCACCCTCACTCTCCTGCTAGTCAGCATAGGAGTCTTCTTCACGGCCTGGTTCTTCGTCTACGAAATCACGGCAACGAAATACGTCCGTGAATTTCTCAAAGAGCTACTGATAGCTATAATGGCTTCAATATTCATGGGGACTGGAGTTCTTTTCCTGCTGCTCTGGGTCGGGATATATGTCTGACTTCTGGAGTTATGATGCCAAACAGTCAGTTGTTTTTCTACCTTGCAATCCACTGCCCCAGCCTTTCATTATACGGTGGTGGACACTGTCGTTTTTATTTTTCCTCTTGTAGTGCGGTGATGCCTGTATTGCCAACCTTTATGTATAAAACTGGCAGGAGACCTCTTGAAGTTTTGGCAGTAAAACTATAGTCTAGTGTAGTTTCATGAGAGCCGGCTTCCCGTTGAACCAGGCTTCCGTTTCTAAGGATTCGTGCGTACGAGTTCCAGGATAGTTCAAATATCTCATTTCACGCTTCGGCGTACCCGTCACGCCCTTAAGTCGGTTACTCCCAAACGCGTGTTTTTTTGAGATTCGATTGCTGGAATAAGTTTGCTGGCTTAATGTTTCGGATTCCCGCCCGAACCCATCGACGGAGCCAATCGCTGGTAGTGGGTTGTCTCGCCACCCACCACTTCAAATTTCAACTCACTGCTGTGGATCTGGCTGTCGGGGGTTGCTGGTTTGAGGAGTGTTTGTGCATCGAGTAGCAGGAATTACCTGCTAAGCTCAAACCCCGACCGTCTGTTGCCGGGATATCGGTTCCAAATACCAAGACTTCCTTCCAGTATGAGACCTCGGTTAAGAGGGTGAGGGTCCTGCCACCGTGGACGATAGTGCCACCACCAGCGTGTAAGCCAAAAAGGCCGGTACTTCTCTGCAACCTGTGTCGCTCGCGTCAACGGGTTAGAGTCGGGCCTGTGCTCTGTAGGACCACCCACCGGGCCACAGGATCGGCTTAGGTCGGCATGGACAAAAGACCAGAGCACCGCTTGCGGTTTTCGCATGGCAGGCTACCCTCTCTGGAAAACAGGCTGGTCGTTGACCGTTAATGCTTCCTTGTCACAACAGGCCAATCATGAGGAAATGGATGTGGCACGCGGTACGCTGCTTCCCAGGAAAGCGCATCGTCACATTGTTAGACAGAACTCTAAGCTCAGATTGGCACTGGAGGTTCAGCGACCCAACCAGTGCTGCCATACTCAGATTGGCATTGGACGTTTAGCGGCCCAACCAGTGCTGCCCTACTCCTGGCCGCGAGACGCAGCGAATCGAGACGACCGAGGTGTCTCATAACCTGCACCCCTAGAGAGTGACGTAACATTCGCTATGTCGGGCCCGGCAGTCATCGATGCTGGGGAATTAGATACCATATGACGACGGCCGACACAACTGCAGCCATCATTCTGGGATGGTGACTCACTTGTACGCCCGCCTTACGCTGAGCCCATTTTACTACGGAAAGCCCGAAATCGCGACTCGAGCAGACAGAACCACTGAACAGTCAAAGGTCTGAAAACGAAAAATTCCGCTGCAGGGGGAAGAAACCACGACGCAACCCGACGCCTCCTGACTAAGTTTAAGAGGCACAGAAACGTCAATAAACACGCGTCCAACTCGTAGTGGCGTACATAATTTTATACGAAACAGACAGTTGACAACAGAGATTAAAGTTATACGAGAAAACTGGGTCGTCTTCCTTTTAATAAAGATGGAGAGAAAGGGGAAATGGCATATCCGAAGCCGCGGCCTCGCGAGCCCAGACTCGAGTGCTAAGTGCTGTTGTGTAGGTCGGAAGGATGGGGCTCGTCAGGGACGGCATATATACAAAAATGCAGCAGCAGTCAGGAAAGGTATACGAAGGATCGGAGGGGAGAAAGTAGGGACGGCGGCTGAGCATATAGCTGCGGACATGATTTAGAAGTTCTCATCGTCGTCGTCCTCGTTATCGTCTTCTTCGTCATCGTCACTGTCGTAGACTATCCGCTTACTGGTGCGGGCCTTTCGCAGAGGCAGGACGCTAGTGGGCGCGGCAGTAGCAGCCTCGGCAATCGCTGAATGCGGCGTGGGCGTTGCCATGTCTACGTTGGAGGCTGCCGCCGGTGCAGGGTCTTCTGGTGTATACGATTCACTCGCCCTGGCGTTTCTGCTTACCAACGAGGTTGAGTCGCCCGATGGTTTAGTGCCTGTAGATGTGGGCTTTCGGGATAAAAGTAGCTTGCGTGTTTTGCTGGAGAAAGAACTTCTACTGGCGCTATCGTCTGAAAAAGCGACAAAATGTATACCTTCAGAGAGCGGACTATTCGCAGAAAACAACATACTAGTGGTGCGTAGATAAAATTCAAAATGGAAGTCTCGGGATGTGAGCACTTTTAGGAGGGTCCCATTCGATGCTATTGATCGGGAGCGGATGTAGATCTTGCTTGGCCACTGGCAACTGTTTTTGTTTATAAATGCTGCAATTTTGGGTTACAGGCAAGGGGTTCAAAACTTCAGACCAGCCCATTATCTCAGTAGCCAGGACATACGAGGCCTGATATCTGCTGTCGCGGTCTTCTACGGCCACAATGGGTCGAACTTTACTCTAGAGGTAGAAGGTATTGACGAATATGCACAGCAGACAGAAGTGACGATGATGGCTAGGACGTAGGATATCCAGAAATAATAAGGGTCAGTCTCAAGGCAAACGTTTCTAGGCAGTCCCATATTTTTTAAACTTTGCCATACCAACTGTTCTAACTTAAAAAACCAAGGAACTAGTTCAGATTGTGGATGTTTTCTTGTTTGCTCAAGGAGGTTAAAAACAAAGGTTAACTTAAGACACCGTAGAAGTTATCAACACATTTATAACTGCGAGGTACTGAGAAAGGGAAATGTGTATAATCGCGGTCATAAAGGAGACGAAGAAGGAAAGATCTCCCAAATATCAAACTTCAGTCTTCTGGACGTCTGCCTTGGTTGCGAAAATACTCCCATTCATAGTCACACAATTTCCAAGATTCAGTTCGAGCGGGCGGACACAAGCACACTTGAATTATCCGAGCAACATTATCACTAGCAACAGACTCGCGGCGGTGAGCCGACGGTGAAGTTGTCTTTGGCAGTGCGAAATTTGAAGTCTAATAAACTAAGCTACAATACGCAGTTTCGGTGCCCAGCAAAGTACCAGAGGACACAGTTTGTTCTGTTACTCGACAGAAAATTGAGTTTTCAAAAACAGAACTCACCATAATCTGGTGGTTCGTCTAGGGTGTCATCCTCCATGGTATCCAGGTCATCGACGCCCCCAACGCTGTCTTCAAGAGGGTGTTGTTGAGGCTTAGATAGTTGACGCGAGGAAGATTGCGTCGCCGCACAGCCGCTGTTAGATGCCTGATTCTTTCGACTGGAGGACTCACTAAAGTCTGGGTCGTCTTCATCATCCTCTTCAGCTTCTATCTCCTCCTCCTCATCCTCGCCCTCTTCGTAGTCGAGATTTCGCTGACGCTGATATCGGTGATGGTGATGATGAGATCGACCACCCTTACCCTTTCGGGAACTTGACTCGACTTCTTCAGTTGGTTCGATATCTTCAAGACGTTCTCGTGCATTCTTCCAGACAGTTTGCAGCACCACCGAGTCTTCAAAGATCTGGTGGTCAGAGAAATAGCGTCTAAGGACTCAAACCGACATCATTTAGATGAGATAGCGTATGCTTAAGAATAGCTCAAATCAACGCGTCATTTTTTTAAACAATACAGTTAGGGAAGGCACCAAAACCAATGGTGTACTTTGCGGCGTAGGGAATGAAAAGGTCTTTAGGCCTAAATGAAGGGAATAGAGGTTTACCAAACTCCCGTCCATATTGTAAGTCTGAGCATTTTTGCATAGCAGCATAATATCAGCCTCAAGGTCGTCGATTGAATGATATTTGCCGTCTCGGACGCGCTGCTTTATTCTGTTGAAATCAACAGGCTTCTTTATGACCTCGTAGTAGTCGGGTAACTCCTTGCGAGTGGGTAGCTTCATGAAGGGTTCACTAAGCACCCTCAAGTCTCTGAAAATAAAGTGAAAATATTACGCTGGTTAAGAGAAACTGCAGTGGGAGATATTTTGCTGAGTTTATCTTCACCAGGATGATGCAAGGTCGAATTCGGCGTAACTAACGTCGATCGAACATGGAACAGTGCTTAAATTCACAGCAGAAGACAGGAGAGCATGATATTTCGTAGTTACAGGCACATGGGGTTTACGGAAGGTTAGGAGGTCTATATTTTAGTAGGCATCCATGAGCAAAAATCGGCATCATTCTTCCCTCCAAGAAACCCAAATTCTGCTTAGATGACAAATCCACTCTTAAGAGAGTTGTGATTATGTAATAGGCCCTGACATCTTAGATTAACGATCTTAAGGGTAAGTGAAGTTAGCTCAATTTAATAGTTTCACTTAGGGCTCTCAGCACTGATCGCGTAATTGATATTTACGAGAAATGTCTCCCAAAACTGACGACTGATCCGCAGAAAATTGACGGAAACCACGTCAAGCACTCGAAACATTGACACCCAAATAGCCGAAAGCGCTTCATAAATAAGATTCCTAGTGGACTTTTTAAACAGATTACGAAAATTAGGCACAATTTGAGGCGCCACTATCCAGGTTTTCGTCACTAGCGTGTTAATGGAGGAAATATTTGTAATAGGAATTGCTGCTTCCAATGACTTTGTGAAAAGGCAAGAAGTCGTCCGCTATTCGCTGTCCCGATGATCACAATACATCACATCTCTAGGATGGATTTACAGCTACCAGAGTCAGCAGTTTCGGAAATCATTGAGAGTGTAAGACGATACATGAGTTAACATTTCCCTAAAAATATAATTGCCCGCCTCTCCCAAGATATAAAATGTAGAATTTCGGAATCCCTTGCGAACCAGTCGATTAATTGAAGTGAATTAAAATTATCTTAGACTAACAGCAACCAGAAAGATCTTAAAAAGTAGGAATAGAGGTCGTGCTTCCCAATTCTTACGGAGTGCAAGAGGCAATACGTAGTTCAATTTCCGGTGTAGAACAGTGTTTGGACAGCGACGGCCAAGATGGTTAACGTAATACACTTATTCGCAGTAAACAAATATCCAAAACAAGTGATCTAGATCCCTTCAACATTCATAGTCAAAAACGACCAGCTCTCAAATAAACATCAA